ACACAATGTGTTGTTATTACATAATGTGTTATAACATAATGTGTTATAACACAATGTGTTGTTATTACATAATGTGTTATAACATAATGTGTTATTACACAATGTGTTGTTATTACATAATGTGTTATAACATAATGTGTTATTACACAATGTGTTGTTATAACACATTGTGTTGTTATTACACGTGTGTTTTCTACCTTCATTGTCAGTCCTGAAAACAAAGATTCGATGACTCGTCACAATTTCAAATTTGTGGTCTTTGGTTGGGCGGGCAATCTGAATGGCAGCCAATGGGATGACTCCTTTTGGGTAAACGTCCTGAAACACAAACATTAGAATTATCTAAACATTAAAACAATATAAATATTACATATCATTTACTCCTCATTAACAGCTGATACAAATCGTATCAGAAAAGAAGATAAAGACAATTAAATATGTGTTACTTCACATCCTCTCTGATATAATGATAAATTAACTCTTTATACCTTCTCACTGCCAAAGTACATCAGGTTTTTGCCGTCAAACTTCACGTAGCGCTTCTGGAAAACATAGTTCCTGAGAAATGAAACACACATCAGATACAGAGGCAGTCACATGACCACTTTCCCACAGACACACATCACACCTGTGTAGTTTCTACTCTAACAAATACTGCTAAGCTGTGTGATGAAAATATTCCAGATGTATAAACCTGAAGCATCATCACCTGATTCATACACCGGCCCTAAACTCCTCTATCAGGAGAAACGCTGCAGCTTCAGAAACCATGCAGATATAAAACACTGCAGCGTTTGGTTTCTGCAGCTTTTAGTAAACGCTGCCATGTCTCCTCAAGTTGCTGAATGTTCTCTAAATGCTGCATTTACCTTCCCCGGGCGCTGTACAATAGCTGCCCACTGCTCCTAGTACGAGACTCCTGGTACTAGGATGGGTTAAATGCAGAGGCCAAATGTCACTGTGTGCTGTGTGCTCTGCATGTGAGACCATTACAGAGGGTTTCATCCCTCCATATTCTATTCTATTCTATCTATGTGTTGTTGCTGAAGATGTTTCTTTAAGCCCGCGTCACACTGTCCTGAAATTGACACCCGATGGACACACGAATATCGAATTGGGAATTTCGCACGAAGATGGCCCCGAACCACACACGAAGGCAACATTTACATTACATTTAAGACATACAACTGCAACGAAAGTAACAAAAACAATTATGTTAAAGTACTATGATACTGTACTGATATTTTCAGACTTTGTTCTTTACTTTCTCCGTCTTTATATGTAGAAGATATTAAGTTTTCTCCGTCATGTTGTTTCAAAAGAAACAACAACTTCCTGTCAACTCGCCTTCAAAATAATATATTATATCCTTTTCAGTTTCACAGAACACAAATTGGGTCATTTACATAATATGTTTACATGATTTTGTTGTGCAATAAAACAACCCGATGGACACACGATAAAGGAAATGTTCAAATTCGGCTCTGATCGTAGCAACATCGGGCCATTCGCGAGGGCATCTTAAGCCATCGTATGACCGCCAGTGGAGTTTCTCAGGCTCCGGCAGCAACTTCGTGAGCGGTGGCAAAATCTTTGGCATGCCAAACAATTGCCGAAGGACCTTGCGAAGGTTCATTTTCGTGTTGAATTCGTGTGTCAATTTTGCCCTTCGCAAGGCACTCGTGAGGGCATTTTGTTATCATCGGTGCCATCGGGCATTCGCCCCGATCAGAGTGAGGGCGAATGCCCGATGGCACCGATGATAACACCAAGATGACACGATTTGACAAGATGCCCTCACGAGTGCCTTACGAAGTAGCCGCTCACGAAGTTGCTGCCGGAGCCTGAGAAACTCCACCGGCGGTCATACGATGGCTTAAGAGGCCCTCACGAATGGCCCGATGTTGCTACGATCAGAGCCCAATTTGAACATTTCCTTTATCGTGTCCATCGGGTGTCAATTTTGGGACAGTGTGACGCAGGCTTTATGTGGAACATTTGGGTTTTTATATCTGCATCCTTTCTGAAGGAGTTTCTCCTGATGGAAGAGTTTAGCACCTGTCGGCCTCCGTAGGTTCATCATGATAATATTTGTTTTTGCTTTGATTCAATCAGCAAAGAAGCCCAGAAGAGTTTTGTTGTTTTAACAAGAAGCCGAAGGAGGAACGTGAGAAAAGACAAACACACACCGAGTGGAGGATGAAGAAGAGGAGGAAAGGAAGGTGATGAGGCAGCTCCTCAGGAGGGAGGAGACACAGGGAGGAGCAGAGAGGAGGAGACGCAGCACAACAGCCAGCGCTGACCTCTGACCCCTGACAGGTATATAAAAAGGTGTGTAAATCAAACGCACTCCATGTCGTTTCCTTCCCTAGGTTCTAACTGCTTGTTCAAATCAAACAAACTGCAGGTCTAACCCGGTGTGTGAATCAAATCAAATCAACATGTATTATAGCCCCAAATCACAAGAAGTGCCTCAAAGGGATGCACAAAGCAAACAAAAGCAAAGACAACAACTAAATACAAACGTCATAGCATAACAATTATAAAAACATGATACAACATTATACCTCAACATAAGTATTGCCATGTGATGAAAGCATGTGACTGAAGTGATGGAAATGAAGATGGAAACAAGATGATGGAGATTAGTTTACAAGGAAGACAGAAGAAGAAGAATAGGGAGGGATGAAACCCTCTTTAATGGTCACACATGCAGAGCACACAGCACACACAGTGAAATTTGGCCTCTGCTTTTAACCCATCCTAGTACAAGGAGTCTAGTACTAGGAGCAGTGGGCAGCTATTGTACAGCGCCCGGGGAGCAATGGGAGTGGGGGGGGAAGGGGGGTGTCCGGTGCCTTGCTCAAGGGCACCACGGCAGGGCAGGAGGTGAACTGGGACCTCTCCAAGTAGAAGTCCACACTCCATATTTAGGTCTGGTCGGGGACTTGAACCAGCGACCCTACGGCTCCCAGTCCAAGCCCCTACTGACTGAGCCACTGCCGGATGCGAAGAGATGGGTTTTGAGTTTGCTTTGAAAGGAGTCAACGGAAATAGCTTCAGGGATCTGAAATGGAAGACGATTCCAAAGGAGAGAATCAAACGCACCCCTGGGGAGACAGCTTGTCCAGCCAGCCGCTGATGATGGGGGGGGCTCTCTCTGTGAGGGAGGTGTAGCTGGCATAGGGGGAGATGGTGAGGTCATCATCGGGCTCTGAGGGGAGGCTGTGGGGGGGCAGAGACAGGTAGCGCAGGGGGGGGGGAGGTTCCCCCACGGTGCTGTAACCCTGAGCGTCTCCGGGGTGAAGAGCCTGAGACAAACGCCTCGTCCAGGACAGCTTCTGACCGCTGAAACACAACGTCATTAAAACACCGGCTGCAGACACAACCCTCACTGTCATCAATACAATAGAGCTGTAAGACCTCCAGAGCAGAGTGCTGTACAGTCAAATAAACAAACTAACATACAAACATTACAATTTCAAAGCAAAAAAAGAAAAAATCTACAAGATGTCAACACGCTAAGGAGAAGAGGTCAGACATTTCTCCCTCTGGAGGGACACAGGGATTTTAGCCTTTGCAGACCGTTGACATGCACTAACACCTATAGAACACTCTACAGGTGAGGGAACACCACAGAAGAAGAATAGGACCTCTTTAAGGTGTTTATGGAGCCTATTTAAAGGAAAGAGCAACAAAACAAAAGTGGGCCGAGTATAAAACCCTGTGGCACTCCACATACAGACAACATGCAGACGATACACCTTTATATATTTGTCGTGTAAAAGTCAATGTGCCTTTAATGTTCAGCAGCCTTAGACCATCCAACTGAAGGTTGTGTTGGAAGCAGAAACTACAGATTCATGTTATTGTGATGTTAAATATAACTTTTTCTCTCAGTGTTAAGTATTGTTCTGATCCTTTGTCCTGTCTTGTGTTGTCTGTTTGACTGTCCCTGGTTTTGTGTAATTTCAGGTTATCATTATGTTGTCAGAATATAATATTTGGTCACAGGAAGGTGGAGGTGTTGTCTTACCCATGATCCTCGGCATGTCTGTCCTCCCTCCTCATATCTCTTTCACCCTGCAGAATAAAATAATAAATTAGCGAGACATTTTAAGTTTAATCCCAACAACGACTGACTGTTCAGAAGTTGATCTCCTTAAACGTCAGTGCTGCCGTCTCACCTCGTTTCTCCTGCTGTGGAACACCGTCTCACAGTACGGGCTGATCTCCTCCTCGGGGTCGTCTGTTGAAGCTGTGAGCACAACACTCAGAGTGAATTGGGGAATCGTAGCATTCCCGCTATTGCTCTTTTTATTTCATGGCCAATCTTTGGTGGAAACAGTGTCATTGTGAACAGGTTTTAACACTCTGTGCTCACCTTGGGCGGATCCTGAAGAGTTGTTACTCAGAGTACTGCCACTGAAACACACACACACACACACACACACACACACACACACACATTAACCCTAACACACTTAGAACAGGATGTAAAGACACACCTCAGTGTTCAGTGAGAGGAGGAACACCAGGTGAAATGTGTTGAATAATAAAAGTCTTTGGACTGAGAGTCTGAGAGACCTACCTGTTCCTCTCTAGCTTCCTGTCCGGTGTCAGTCTGGGAGGGGTGGGGGGGGCGGCCTGCTCGCTGCAGTGAGCCCTCCCTCCTGCGGGGGCAGTAGATCCAGATGAAGCCCCCCAGTAGATCTCATTAGGAACCATCTCCATCCCGCCGGGCGAGGATCTGCTGCTGTCCAGACTCCCAGGACAGGAAGTGTGGGGGGGGGACCCCTGGATGATGGGGGGGGTCCCGCGGGTCAGCCGGGGGGGGGACGGGGGGTAACGGTAACGGCCCCCCTGCGTCCGACAGAGACCGGCTGAGACTCGCCCTCCGCCTCCGATTCAGAGACATGGAGATATTTATATTATTACTTTGTGTATAAAGTTCCATTTAAAAAATGTATAACAAAATTCCTGTTTGTTCCTTCACAATAAGAGCATTGGTCACAGGTTGAGAAAATGTATCTATTGCTTGTCACACACACACACACACACACACACACACACACACACACACACACACACACACACACACACACACACACACACACACACACACACACACACACACACACACACACACACACACTCACAGACAGATGGAGTCCTGTGAGAGCCTCCTGGTGGGGGGGGGTGCAGGGTCTCCCTCAGGACAGAACCTGATGGGGGCGGTTCGGCGCCGGTTGAACACGGTTCTGGGTTTGGGGACCGGCTTCACGATGACCTCACAGTTGGTCAGCAAGTCGCCGAGGTTCGGAGCCGAAGTGTTCCTCAACGCCTCGAAGCTCCCTACGGACGGCAGGGATACACACATCCTTTACTCAAGTAGAAGTACACACATCCTTTACTCAAGTAGAAGTACACACATCCTTTACTCAAGTATAAGTACACATCCTTTACTCAAGTAGAAGTACACACATCCTTTACTCAAGTAGAAGTACACACATCCTTTACTCAAGTATAAGTACACATCCTTTACTCAAGTAGAAGTACACACATCCTGTACTCAAGTATAAGTACACATCCTTTACTCAAGTAGAAGTACACACATCCTGTACTCAAGTAGAAGTACACACATCCTTTACTCAAGTAAAAGTACAGATACTCGTGTTTAAAAATACTCTGGTAAAAGTAGAAGTACTGACTAAACTTCTTTACTCAAGTCAAAGTAAAGAAGTATGGGCTTTGAAATGTACTTCAGTAAAAAGTACTCATAACTAGCAGCTGTTTTAAAGAGTACCTGACCTCCCTTTATATTAATAGAACAATAATGTCATTGTTAGCTAATGAATGTTTCCATGCTGAACAACGGCAACATGACAACGTTTTCATTGGTCCCTCTTCTTTAGAGAAGACCAGGAAATGATGGATACACGGATCGTGTTCAAATCAATAGGCACGCAATGACTCTAAATAATAATGATCACGCCACCAAACACACATTCAAACTAAAGGAACCAGCCTGTTTGGGAAATGTGAGAAGTAGAAAGTACAGGTATTTGTGTTCAACATGTAAGAAGTAGAAAGTACAGGTATTTGTGTTCAACATGTAAGAAGTAGAAAGTACAGGTATTTGTGTTCAACATGTAAGAAGTAGAAAGTACAGGTATTTGTGTTCAAAATGTAAGAAGTAGAAAGTACAGGTATTTGTGTTCAACATGTAAGAAGTAGAAAGTACAGGTATTTGGGTTCAACATGTAAGAAGTAGAAAGTACAGGTATTTGTGTTCAACATGTAAGAAGTAGAAAGTACAGGTATTTGTGTTCAACATGTAAGAAGTAGAAAGTACAGGTATTTGGGTTCAACATGTAAGAAGTAGAAAGTTCAGGTATTTGTGTTCAACATGTAAGAAGTAGAAAGTACAGGTATTTGTGTTCAACATGTAAGAAGTAGAAAGTACAGGTATTTGTGTTCAACATGTAAGAAGTAGAAAGTACAGGTATTTGTGTTCAAAATGTAAGAAGTAGAAAGTACAGGTATTTGTGTTCAACATGTAAGAAGTAGAAAGTACAGGTATTTGTGTTCAAGAAAGTGTACTTATGTAAGAAGTAGAAAGTACAGGTATTTGTGTTCAAAATGTAAGAAGTAGAAAGTACAGGTATTTGTGTTCAAAATGTAAGAAGAAGAAAGTACAGGTATTTGTGTTCAAGAAAGTGTACTTATGTAAGAAGTAGAAAGTACAGGTATTTGTGTTCAAAATGTAAGAAGTAGAAAGTACAGGTATTTGTGTTCAACATGTAAGAAGTAGAAAGTACAGGTATTTGTGTTCAAAATGTAAGAAGTAGAAAGTACAGGTATTTGTGTTCAAAATGTAAGAAGTAGAAAGTACAGGTATTTGTGTTCAAAATGTAAGAAGTAGAAAGTACAGGTATTTGTGTTCAAAATGTAAGAAGTAGAAAGTACAGGTATTTGTGTTCAAAATGTAGTGGAGTAAAGTAATGATACCAGAAAGAATAACTTAAGTATTTGTACTCCAGTACTTCCCACCTCTGACGGACGCTCGACCCGTCACAGACTGACAGCGCGGGAGAGCAGCTCTCTGATTGGCTGTTTGACTCTCCGCCCTCTGAATGTGATTGGCCAGGTGCAGGATTCTCTTCTGGTGTCCGGTGGCCGTCACACCGAGGCTGACCAGGGCGTCGCTGTCCAGGTGGGTGAAGTCGCTGGCCAATAGGAGCCCGGCTCGGCGGAAGGTATCCAGGTACCTGCAGGGAGAGACAAATCAGAAAACCATCCCCGAGTATCTGTCCGGGTCTTTCAGGGAGATGAACACATCGCTGATTACTCCAGAAACCATAAAGAGGTGTTAACATGTGGAGATTATCCTGCTGAACTAAATGTGTGAACATCATAAATGGCTCTGTTCATGACGCCTATTTAATGGAAAGAGCAACAAAACAAAAGTGGGCCGAGTATAAAACCCTGTGGCACTCCACATAAAGACAACATGCAGACGATACACCTTTATATATCTGTCTTGTAAAAGTCAATGTTCCAATGACCTCTGACCTCTCCTAAACGTTTGTTTGACTTTGACTTTGACTTGACCTCTGACCTCTCCAGGTGGATCGCGGTCAGGAGCGTCTCAGATGGCGTTTCTCCGTCCAGCGTTGCCATGGCGACCAACATGGAGACCGGAAGCTTCTTCTTCTCCTCGTTCAGGAAACACGGCGGCCATCACTTCAGCCGTCCATCTGCAGGGTCACATCTTTATGACCTTCAGATCGCTCCATCATTGTTCTGATTGATATATTATACATTAAAGCCAGAAACATGTATCATTATTATTGTTATTGTTATTGTTATTTAGTATGAATGCACTTTAACACTTTGATGCCTCGCAGTCTGTAAAGAGCTCTGAGGGGTCGAAGAGATGTATAAAGCTCTTCATCGTGGAGTTTAAATCTCTTTTAAAAAAGTGACACACAGAGCGAGCACATTCCAGCCTCTCTCAGGAAATCCAGCACACACACACACACACACACACACACACACAACACACACACACACACACACACACACACACACAGCACCCACACACACACACAACACACACACACACACACACACACACACACACCTCACACACACACACACTCACACATCACACACACACACACACACCACACAACACACACACACACCACTCACACCCACACGCAACACACACACAACACTCCACACATCACACACACACACACACACACACTCGCTACACACACACACACACACAACCACACCACACACTCTACTACACCACACACACACACACACACACACACACACAACCACTCAACCACACACACACAACTCACAACACACACACACACACACCACACACACACACAACACTCTCTCTCACACACACACACACTCACACACACACACACACAAACACTCTCTCTCACACACACACACACACACACACACGATGCAGGGAGTGCCAGGCAAAGGCGGGGGGGGCTTTCAAAGGAAGAACTGTGTAATCTGTGAAAGTCGTCTGTGGTGAGAAACAAGAATAAATCCAGATATTAGATATCACAGTTTCAAAACATCCCTGTTTGTTCCTTCACAATAAGAGCATTGGTCACAGGTTGAGAACATGTATCTATTGCTTGTCACACACACACACACACACACACACAAACACACACACACACACACACACCCACACACACACACACAACCACACACACACACACACACACACACACACACACACACACTCACACAGACTCACACACACACACTCACAAACACACACACACAGCGTCCAGCAGGAAGACAAAGGAGCAGGAAGTGAGTCACAGCACTTCCTGCTCCAGACTCAAACTGCTTCTGTTTCCCACATCCTCTGCAGCACTCATATATAAGTATACATACATATATACAAATACACACATACATATATACAAATACACACATACATATATACAAATACACACGTACGTACATGTACACATAAACACATGTACTAACACATCTGCGGCTCTTTCAGGGACGTTTGCAGGTCTAAAGAGGCTTTAGATGAGGATCCTGAAAGTATTATTAAAAATGTTATTTAGAGAAACCACGGCACGTCTAATTCATGATCTTAAATGAAGTGTGGAAACAGGAAGGGGCGGGGCTTACGGATGAGACCCTGAGGACTCAACTCGTTATCTCTGTCCTGTTGTTGCAGCAGAACAAAAACCAGGAAACAGCTGAGGAAACACACACACACACACACACACACTCCCCGCATCAGGGTTTGTGGTTTTTTTGTGAGTTTTCTGTTGGATGTTCCTCTTTAAAGTAGAGACACTACATACTGATATACACCTGAACATCAGCAGGAGAGAACTCTTTAAAGTAGAGACACTACATACTGATATACACCTGAACATCAGCAGGAGAGGACTCTTTAAAGTAGAGACACTACATACTGATATACACCTGAACATCAGCAGGAGAGGACTCTTTAAAGTAGAGACACTACATACTGATACACACCTGAACATCAGCAGGAGAGGACTCTTTAAAGTAGAGACACTACATACTGATATACACCTGAACATCAGCAGGAGAGGACTCTTTAAAGTAGAGACACTACATACTGATATACACCTGAACATCAGCAGGAGAGGACTTTTTAAAGTAGAGACACTACATACTGATATACACCTGAACATCAGCAGGAGAGGACTCTTTAAAGTAGAGACACTACATACTGATATACACCTGAACATCAGCAGGAGAGGACTCTTTAAAGTAGAGACACTACATACTGATATACACCTGAACATCATTAAGAGAGGACTCTTTAAAGTAGAGACACTACATACTGATATACACCTGAACATCATTAAGAGAGGACTCTTTAAAGTAGAGACACTACATACTGATATACACCTGAACATCAGCAGGAGAGGACTCTTTAAAGTAGAGACACTACATACTGATATACACCTGAACATCAGCAGGAGAGGACTCTTTAAAGTAGATACACTACATACTGATATACACCTGAACATCAGCAGGAGAGGACTCTTTAAAGTAGAGACACTACATACTGATATACACCTGAACATCAGCAGGAGAGGACTCTTTAAAGTAGAGACACTACATACTGATACACAACCTGAACATCAGCAGGAGAGGACTCTTTAAAGTAGAGACACTACATACTGATATACACCTGAACATCAGCAGGAGAGGACTCTTTAAAGTAGAGACACTACATACTGATATACACCTGAACATCAGCAGGAGAGGACTTTTTAAAGTAGAGACACTACATACTGATATACACCTGAACATCAGCAGGAGAGGACTCTTTAAAGTAGAGACACTACATACTGATATACACCTGAACATCAGCAGGAGAGGACTCTTTAAAGTAGAGACACTACATACTGATATACACCTGAACATCATTAAGAGAGGACTCTTTAAAGTAGAGACACTACATACTGATATACACCTGAACATCAGCAGGAGAGGACTCTTTAAAGTAGAGACACTACATACTGATATACACCTGAACATCAGCAGGAGAGGACTCTTTAAAGTAGATACACTACATACTGATATACACCTGAACATCAGCAGGAGAGGACTCTTTAAAGTAGAGACACTACATACTGATATACACCTGAACATCAGCAGGAGAGGACTCTTTAAAGTAGAGACACTACATACTGATATACACCTGAACATCAGCAGGAGAGAACTCTTTAAAGTAGAGACACTACATACTGATATATACCTGCACATCAGCAGGAGAGGACTCTTTAAAGTAGAGACACTAAATACTGATATACACCTGAACATCAGCAGGAGAGGACTCTTTAAAGTAGAGACACTACATACTGATATACACCTGAACATCAGCAGGAGAGGACTCTTTAAAGTAGAGACACTACATACTGATATACACCTGAACACTAGCAGGAGAGGACTCTTTAAAGTAGAGACACTACGTACTGATATACACCTGAACATCAGCAGGAGAGGACTCTTTAAAGTAGAGACACTACATACTGATATACACCTGAACATCAGCAGGAGAGGACTCTTTAAAGTAGAGACACTACATACTGATATACACCTGAACATCAGCAGGAGAGGACTCTTTAAAGTAGAGACACTACATACTGATATACACCTGAACATCAGCAGGAGAGGACTCTTTAAAGTAGAGACACTACATACTGATATACACCTGAACACTAGCAGGAGAGGACTCTTTAAAGTAGAGACACTACGTACTGATATACACCTGAACATCAGCAGGAGAGGACTCTTTAAAGTAGAGACACTACATACTGATATACGCATGAACATCAGCAGGAGAGGACTCTTTAAAGTAGAGACACTACATACTGAGACACTCCATACTGATATACACCTGAACATCAGCAGGAGAGGACTCTTTAAAGTAGAAACACTACATACTGATATACACCTGAACATCAGCAGGAGAGGACTCTTTAAAGTAGAGACACTACATACTGATATACACCTGAACATCAACAGGAGAGGACTCTTTAAAGTAGAGACACTACATACTGATAGACACCTGAACATCAGCAGGAGAGGACTCTTTAAAGTAGAGACACTACATACTGATATACACCTGAACATCAGCAGGAGAGGACTCTTTAAAGTAGAGACACTACATACTGATATACACCTGAACATCAGCAGGAGAGGACTCTTTAAAGTAGAGACACTACATACTGATATACACCTGAACATCAACAGGAGAGGACTCTTTAAAGTAGAGACACTACATACTGATAGACACCTGGACATCAGCAGGAGAGGACTCTTTAAAGTAGAGACGCTACATACTGATATACACCTGAACATCAGCAGGAGAGGACTCTTTAAAGTAGAGACACTACATACTGATATACACCTGAACATCAGCAGGAGAGAACTCTTTAAAGTAGAGACACTACATACTGATATACACCTGAACATCAGCAGGAGAGGACTCTTTAATGTAGAGACACTACATACTGATATACACCTGAACACTAGTAGGAGAGGACTCTTTAAAGTAGAGACACTACGTACTGATATACACCTGAACATCAGCAGGAGAGGACTCTTTAAAGTAGAGACACTACATACTGATATACACCTGAACACTAGCAGGAGAGGACTCTTTAAAGTAGAGACACTACGTACTGATATACACCTGAACATCAGCAGGAGAGGACTCTTTAAAGTAGAGACACTACATACTGATATACGCATGAACATCAGCAGGAGAGGACTCTTTAAAGTAGAGACACTACATACTGAGACACTCCATACTGATAGACACCTGAACATCAGCAGGAGAGGACTCTTTAAAGTAGAGACACTACATACTGATATACACCTGAACATCAGCAGGAGAGGACTCTTTAAAGTAGAGACACTACATACTGATATACACCTGAACATCAGCAGGAGAGGACTCTTTAAAGTAGAGACACTACATACTGATATACACCTGAACATCAGCAGGAGAGGACTCTTTAAAGTACAGACACTACATACTGATATACACCTGAACATCAGCAGGAGAGGACTCTTTAAAGTAGAGACGCTACATACTGATATACACCTGAACATCAGCAGGAGAGGACTCTTTAAAGTAGAGACACTACATACTGATATACACCTGAACATCAGCAGGAGAGAACTCTTTAAAGTAGAGACACTACATACTGATATACACCTGAACATCAGCAGGAGAGGACTCTTTAATGTACTCTTTCATTCTCCTCTCTGCAGCCCTTCTTCCAGCATAAAAACACTCAGAGCCAGTCTAGCAGTTTCCCTCCGTTTGCAGTCATTATGCTAAGCTAAGCTAACCACAGACATGTCTCTGAATTCTCTCTGAAATATATAAATATAAAAAAATATATGCAGTTCAACATCTTCCTCATGATAAAATGAATATCTTGTTTTAATATGTTCATATTTTGTTCTTGCATCTGTTACTTTATATATTATACATTCATTCTTATTCGCATGTCACCCGTCCATGCACACGCAGTTTGATTTATTTTCCTTCTTGCACTTTTCTATTTGTGTTATACATATTCTCGTCTTGTTTTTCTGTTGCACATTATTTCCTTTTTATGACTTCTTATTGCATCATTTATCTATTCTTGCGATACTTGTTCTATTTCCAATATCGAATGTTTTGCACTTTTATTTTCCTTTTTATTTCGTAGTGTTTGATTGGACGTCTCCAGTTTCAGTGTGCAGAGGAGAGAGGACAGAGAGAGAGAGGGTGGGCGAGAGAGAGAATAACAACAGAGAGTCTCTGTGACACACAGAGGGTCCATTGTTAGACACACACACACACACACACACACACACACGCACACACACACACACACACACACACACAGGACAGTCAGCAGCAGAGTGTGATGTTTCTGCAGGAGTTGTGTGTCAGTGTTAACGGATGTTCTCGTGAAGTTTTCTGTGTTTTTTAAACTTTATTCCTGTTTCTCACGGGAACACCTGAATCTGCGTACTGTTCCTTTAAGACGCTCATTACATCATCTGTTCTATAGAGGAAGAGACACTGGACACACTTCCTGTTACTGTACAGGACACACACTCACACACACACACACACACACACTCACACACACACACACACACTCACACTCACTCACACACTCACACACTCACATACACACTCACACACACACACCCTCACACACACACTCACACACACCCTCTCCAGTGTGATCAGCTGAGGTTGTCTCATTGTAGAAGATGAACACATGATCACATGAACACATGAACACATGATCACATGATCACATGATCACATGAGCACATGATCACATGATCACATGAACACATGAACACATGATCACATGATCACATGAACACATGATCACATGAACACATGATCACATGAACACATGAACACATGAACACATGAACACATGATCACATGATCACATGAACACATGATCACATGATCACATGAACACATGAACACATGATCACATGATCACATGAGCACATGAACACATGATCACATGATCACATGATCACATGAGCACATGATCACATGATCACATGAACACATGAACACATGATCACATGATCACATGATCACATGAGCACATGATCACATGAACACATGATCACATGATCACATGATCACATGAACACATGATCACATGATCACATGAACACATGAGCACATGATCACATGAACATCCCCGTTAGTAAATGTGAAAACAGATTAACTCAGCTGGTTAGCATTTCTCATGCTAACGCTAACCACAGACCAGGGTTGCGGTCGAATAGTCCATTTAGCTTAGGGACCTTCCTAACGGAGTGAAATGACCCGGAAGTCCCTCAGTGGCAGCCATGATAAGTGCCGTTCGAATTCTCTAAATTAAAAGGAAAGGAGGTTTCAAACTTCCTTTATAACCTCCTTTAGCTTAGGAACCACTGGACCTCCCTAACCGAAAGGAGAGGAGAAAATGCTGCCCCACAATGCCTTGCTGCCGCGGCATTTGCCGTCACACAACAGTCGGCCGTTCACGGAAACAACCGATTATGAACGAGAAATGATATCATGAAAGTTACGGTTCAAAACGTATGTGGTAAGTTGCCAAAGTGCTTTGTTTTGAACGTTCATCAGTATTATAATCAAAAAGAGAAATATGAACGTTAGTTTTTACTGAAATGATCAAATAAAGTCAACATTTCACAGTCTTTACTGAGCTGTGTGGGGTTTGTTCAACTTTTAAAAGATGTTTGAATGGTGATATACACAGTGATAGATGTTAAGGACTAACATTTATAATAAATACATTTGTATTGATTTTAAGATCTTTTCATACAATCATACGTATTGGGATCATTTGTATTAATGAGGACCGGAGGGAGAGGGTGACGAGCATAAGTTTCACTTTC